AGATTAATTCATTGTTTAAATCTTCCCCTTAGTAGCCTAAAAGTTAAATAGTCAATTCCATTTTTATATTTTTTCCTTAATAAATTTACGTGTCTAACGAGAAAGATATGGAATATTCTTGGAAATAATGTTTTTAAGTAAATGATATAATCTATTGACACTGTTTTTAGTATCCAATTTGCCTTTCCAAACTTCTTTTCCCAATCAATTAAATCAATATCTATTTTAATGTTAATAAAAAGTGTCGATATTTACCCGATTTATTTAACAATCTCCAACAAAAATTTTTTTACCAAATCAAATTCCCTCAGTGAAGTTCTTAGTGTTTTTGTCTGACGCAGCACCATATATGATAAAAGTAGGGCAAACCTTAAAAATATTTTACCCAAATATGGTCAACGTTACTTGTCTTCTGCATGGAATAAACTTGGTTGCAGAAACTGTGAGAACAGAATATCCCTTGGTTAACAAGCTAATTTCGAATGTGAAAAAAATATTTTTAAAAGCCCCTTTAAGAGTGCAGTTGTATAAAGAGAGAATGGTAGGGGTGTGTTTGCCCCCGGAACCCGTAATTACGCGATGGGGGACATGGATTAAAGCAGCTATATTCTATGCAGAAAATTTTGAAGCAATTAAGGATTTAATTTTGGATATAGAAGACAATTCACAATGTGTAGTGCAAAGTAAAGAATTGTTTAAAAATCCCCTTGTGCCTAAGCAACTTGTGTTTATAAAGGTTAATTTTAGTATTTTACCTGATGTAATAACTTCATTGGAAAAGAAAAATTTAAGTTTAATCGAATCAACAAATTTTATTGCAACAGTTTCCGATAAATGTAACAATGTTCCTGGTGACATAGGCCTTAAGATTAGAAAAAAATTAAATACAACTTTATTAAAGAATGAAGGGTTCAATGAAATAAGGGAAGTGAAAAACATTTTTGAGGGAAAATTTTCCAAAGAAGTTTTACGTTGGCCCTGTACATTACTTCCAAAATTACGGTATTGTCCTATTACTTCGGTAGATGTTGAAAGGATCTTTTCCATATCAAAACATATTTTTACAGACAGAAGACAAAAAATTTTAATAGAAAATTTCGAGAAAAATATTTAATTATAAATTCCTATTATAATATTACTATTTAATATCTTTATACTATTCTATACTTAACTTCTACTAGTTTTTGTGTTTCGTTTGTTTTAAATAAATTATTATATTACATATTTTCTTTTGTTTTTTTTCGTGTAATGGCTTTTATAGCGTACCAAATTAGGAACAGCAATGTTAATTAGAACCCAACAGTGAATGGTTAAGTAGAAATATTCGCTAGGCATCAGAATAAATTTTTAAATAAATTAATTAATTTAAAAAATCGCGTCCCGGATGGAATTTGAACCCGGGACCCCTAAGTCCACAGGCCAATGCACTAACCACTGAGCTACCCACCCCCTACTTTTTTTTAAGTATTTTTAACCAATATGCATTTGCATATTTAGGCATAATTGGACAAAATAACTGCATATTTTTGGTAAAAACGATGCATATATATGCGCATATTTTGTTATATTTTGATGCATATATTCCGCCCTCTACTCATTATCAAACCTTTTAAATCTCCATATTTTTTCTTGTTCCTTATCTAAAGCCTAATTTCAACCGTCATTTAGATAATACTATTAATTATTTGAACCCTCCCCTCATTGGAGTGTAGCCCTTCAATTACCACTTCCATAATATCCCGGTATCGCAATTCCTTCCTCCTGGTATCCCGACAGATCCCCAAATTATAATAACCTCTCTTCATAAATAAATTGTCTTCAGATACCTACGCCCACAAAAATCCACTGTTCCAATGTTCGGATTATATAACCATTCTATGCGCATAGACAAAACTTGCGGCCAAAAATTGTAAAATCCCAAAATAAAATACACAATAATTGATCTACAAAAAACGTATTTGTTTATAAATAGTTTTGTTAAACATATTTATCAATAAAAGAATGTTAGTAAACTAACTATTAATAATATTAGTCAGAACAAAAAATCGGTTATAGCTGAAAAACTATTTTTTAGAAGTTACAACTCGTTTATTTATATTAAATCCCAACGCATACAAACTTTATAATAACCAAACCTTCTTAAAACAATTTTGTACTTAATTAGCTAGAAATAATTAAACTGAACTTTCCAACGAAAAACTTCAAACTTTAGGATCTGTGTATTCATCACTCTCATTTATCTCACCTTATTAAAAAACTTCCGCAAACTTTCCATCATATTTTTGCACCACAAAATACAACACAATATCTATTAAAAAAGTAACAAGAAAACTTTTTTAAATTTCGATCTTAATCGCGAAACCCGTTTTTTTTTGTACCGCGTAGTACTTACGTCACACGAAAATTTTCAAACTACCCGAAGTTGCGCGAAGTTACCGTCATAGTCTACTTCGATATTTCCATGCATACACCTTGGATGCCAAAGTGTCTCTATGTAGTAGGCCCTGTAGAGGAAAGTCGACGCATGCGCCGGAGAACAATCGATGAAAAGACCCATCCCCGTTCTATGAAGATATAATTTTTCATGTTTTTTTGTTTGTAATTATTTCGTGTGTTTTGGAATCCTTAAAAATAAAGAGTGAGAACTTTATGAGATTATCAGAAAATAGCTGCGGAGTAAATTATTGTTTGAGGTGTTTTTCGGGGAATAGCTGTCTTAATAGATATATGGGAGGCTACAGGGTAATGTATAAAGGCTCTGATGAGTATTTTATACAATCATGACGTCAATGGGATATAGTGCGTACGAAAGAGGGAATTTTCAGTTGTGGGAATAAAGAATATAATATACTCCCTAATTTATTGTTTTGCTTCTTCGTCAGAATTGTGATTTAATAGAAACGTCTGTATAAATAAGGATTTCATAAACTGAAAAAACTGAGGGTTTTCCTTTAATAAATAAGTTATTTGTTCAATAATTATTGGTATTAAATTTTTATTTGACAAATTAACAGAAATTTTTTTGATTAAAAGTGAAGAGTTATTTGTTTTTTGTTGTAAAGGAGGGTATTGTTTTAAATAGCTGGTTTGGGCTAAATATAGGAAATATATTTTTATATTTCAAAAACTTAAAAATCTGAGAGAAAATAACTAAAAATTTCCTTTTATATCAAAGCTATGAGCTTAAAATGCATTTATATTACTTAAAAACTTACTTTATCTGATATATAACACATAGGGGGGCTGCTAAATTATTAAAAAAACTTAATTAATGCAAGAAATACCTCTTTGAAATGCAAAATACTTACGTATAGCTCACTGATATTTTTAAAACTAGTGTATCTATCTGAAAAGGCCCGAATATTCAATAATGTTTAACTGAAAAATGTAATAATAGAAAAATCATGAAAAAAAATTGATATTTTTTAAAAATCTAAGTTGATGGAAACTAACTTTTTAACATGGCAATAATTGCGCATTTCTTTTAGATTCGTGGCAACAATAACGAAGTTATGTGGTTAATAACCCAGATAGCACATGACGTCCATTGGACGTCCATATTTTGTCCAAATAATGTCCTGGATGTCCATGAACTTCATATGGATATTCATTGGACATCCTTTTTCCGTTATCCAATGGATATACCCATTCAGAAGTCCAATGGATGTCCAAAATATGTCCATGATGGACAATATAAAAATGACTAACTTATAATAAATTATTATAATTCTTCTTGTATAATTTAATTATTTACTACTAGGTTTTAATTAAAATAAATCAAATAATTTTCCTCTCCACTCGCCTTTGTTAACAAGATAGAAAAGTAAAAGGCCACTCAGGCCAGACTCGAAGAAGAAAAGAAGAAAGAGGTTGAGAAGAAAATACAGCACATGGATGTTTATCTGGTAAGAAAATAAGTATAATTATTAATTAAATCATTTAAAAATCTAAAAATTAAAAAGCAAATCGTTTGTTTTAAACTAATATAACCTATCAATTATGTTTTAAACTATGTTTTCGATTTACATTCAAACAATCCCTTTCTTTTAGACCTTTTGTCAAATGATGTACCTACCTATTTAAGAAAATGGCTTTACTAAAAGCTAGCAAATTCGAGATGATGTCATCACAATTATTATTGTAACTAAGAGGTGAGAAAACTTTCAAAGCAGAAGAAAAGTTTCTATTTGTACTGCATGAGACGTTAGCAGAAGTAGAAGGCTATTTAGAAGATACAAATATTTTCAAAGAAGCTGTAAGTTTTACTGTTATTAAATAAAATAGAATCGTTTTGTAACGTTTAAGAAATAATGCATTGAAAGATGTTTCATAAGTTATTTCTCTTTTATGTTTACAAATACATATTTTTATTGCAATTTTAGATTCAGCACCAAAACCAGGGACAAGGACATGACGAACATAATTTCTAATACCCTCACGAAAGAATTCATATAATATTATGGCATGAAAGTAAAATGGTAATTTAAAGAAACAATGAGCAGTTTTTTGTTTATATGTAAGTATAGGGGTAAAGTACATTAGTCAATGCATATTTTTATATTAGCTAATAATATTTTATCTAAAAATTTTACATTTTTAACTATCACTTTTGCCTGGTCAGGCGATTATTAAACGATTGATTTAAGAGTAGCATGTTTGTGGTCTTCAGTAAGGTAGGGAAATCTGCGGGCTGCTCGTATGAACCAAGGGACGCAGCCGAATATAGGAAGGGGAAAATAAGGACAAAATGTAAAAATAGCCTAAAGATAATAGATAATGGATGAGTTATAGTTCGTCGGATGAGTACAGTTTTTACGTAAATGATTCAATGGGCCTTTTTTTTAACAAGTAAGGAAAGTACAGAATTTATCTAACACAATTAACTACATCACCAAAGAACAAAATCACGATATAATTATTAATACATTAGGAGATCTAACCAAATACAGAGAAAAAGGCAATTTTAATAACAAAAAAAGGAAACAAGTTGTATTTAATAGAAAGAATTTCTACTCATTCATAGACTGGTATTGGGAAAATAAAGAAAAAGCCTTAGAACACCCAATTATAAAAATTTATCCATGGATCAGTGAGTTCAATGTCAAAAATAACATATTAAAAGTAGAACAACTTCTTGAAATGTACTGCGCATGTACAGGAGAAGCGCCGTACGAAGCACAATACAAACTTATAAAGGAACATTTCTGGGCATACTTTATATACTATAAATCACCAGAAATCCCTACACCATGGACGGAGAATAGCGACATAGAGGATGACGTCAACACTGTAAACGCGGAATCGGGGCCTTCGGCCCCTCCACTTAATTCTAACAACACTGAGGTAACGGGATTACAAGCAGCTACGCTACCTGGCGCGTACCCAATAGACAATTCAACACCAGAACCAGGAGACCAGACGGAAGACAGCGGTTACAAAAGTCCATCTTACAGTCCAGAAATAATGTCACCATCAGAACTAGACAGTATCACTTTCGAACCATGGGATGATAATTAAAAATCAAATATAAATGTATTACAATTTATTAATAAAAACATTTTACATAGTATTTACATATCCTTGATCTACACCCATAACAATCCTATAGGTTAACATAAATGCTCCTAAGGCATTAGAAACAGATAATGATAAAATATTATCAGTACCACTATAATGATCAGCATAAGTAGAAGAAGCAGGTAAACGTATAAATCTTCTAGTAGTAACACCCTTATTCAAAATGCAGGAATCAGCACGACCCAAAACATTTCCATCCAATAAAACAGCAACAGATATCTCGGGAGCTCCAGACGTTTGAGGTAAAGTATTTAAAACAAACTCAACCCGAACCCATCTTACACGAAGGGCCCTATTATCAGGTAAGCCCATAGTACCAGCTTTAATAAAAGTTTCACCAGTTTGAATAATATTCCCAACATGGTTATATTGCACAGCCGGGCCACGAGAGGCACGAGGAGGCGCATATCTATTTGACCTAAATGACCTGTACCCGATACGGCGACGATAATATACACGAGGTCTAAACATGACGAGGGTCAAATAACAAGTGGCGCCTTATCTAAATGACGCGTTATTTATATTACAGATAAGACCAAAATCTGTGGGCTGCTTCCCCTTCGTATAAAATGTAATGTCTTTTTTTAGCTGCTGCTGAGAGTGACAATGGTGCTGCTTAAAAAGTAAGCGAAATAGACTTAAGAAAATAGCTGAGAAGATCAACAGAAAGGAGTGCGTATAAAACTAATACATGCTTGATATTATTTATGACAATAAAAATAAGTCAATAGTGGCAATTATTTTATTTCATATTAATATAGGTGGTGATGTCCATCAGATGTCCATAAATTGTCCAAAAGCAATACAAAGAGTCCATTTATGGACCTTTCATGGAGTCCAAATGGACGTCCAGGAGTGGGACTCCGAACAGTGATATTTGACCCACTCTGTATATTCCTTGCTTTTCACCACTAACCAGGCTCATCAGTCTTATAGCTCTCGCCCGTACTATAAACAACTCTGAATGTGCGTCATAATCATAGTATGGCGAGTTTTAATTGGAACCCTTTTCTAAAAATGTACTCTTTTTACCCAAACACCCACTTCGTTTAAACCGGTATCAATAGGCTACCCTACCTTTTGTTAATGATGTCCACGATGAAAAAGATTAAAGTCAGTCCATGAAAAAATCGTTTCACGCGCAAAGTGATTTTTAAAACGCAACATTGTTTCTAACACAACATTTTAACTAAACTGCACCAAGGCAGTTAAGATATGATTTTATTCATCTTAAAATTTACTACCATAAATATGTTCCCAAACAACTTAGTAACTGATAACTAGACAAATGGCTCCTAAATTTAATAACCCGTTAAAATAAGGACTCCTTAAATGGTATCGGTTAACGAATATTCTCGACGATGAAGAGGGTTATTTTTGTTCATTATTATTTCTTAAATTGCTAAAAGGGAACTGAGAAAGTGCTTTTATCGTGAGTATTTATCGTTGGACCGTACTCAAGACATTTTAATATTTTTAATGCGGTTTGAGATTCCATTCTAAAAATATATAAAATCTTAAAATACAGGTATTTTTAAAATTCACTCAATAAAGACTGATATTTGCAAAAAATGGAATATAAAAAAGAATAGACAGCAATTGTAAAAAATATTGCATATAATAATTCAATATTATGCCAACAAAATGGTTACCTAATAAATATGACACACAAGCCCCAATTTAACATTAAGTTTAGTGTTCTGTAATTAAGTTGATATCTCAGATTAATAAAGTTTATAATTAACTTACAAAATTTATTTGGGTGTATCATGTACTCCTATTAAAGTATGCATAAAAATATCAAATAGGCTCTGCAGTTTATACAGCTATATTTACGCTTTGCAATACGCACCTGGGCACAAAAAAAAGGTTTGAATAAATAACGGGACTTGTGTCCTTGTTTGTAGTTCAATCGTAAGCACTTAGCGCGCTACTGTCACTAAATTTAAACCCGTTTTACACCCATAAAAATAGTTTTTCAAAAATAATGTCAAAGATATCAATAATTTTCTGATTTAAACCTTTAAATTTCGCTTTATTACAATGTGTAATCAACTATAGGCATAATCGTTCATAAATATAAAGTTAAAGCTAAATTTAAATATTATGAGATGGTTTAAATTTGACTTTGATACTAAATTAGGTTATGTTGCACTAAATATGCATTTTTCAAATGTAGGTGAGTAAATTGTATTAATTTAGTGTAAGTTTAGATTTAAGTAATTTAAAATTATAGTGGGGTTCTTAAGAATGTCATTAGTTTCTGATTCATTTATTTTAAAATGTAAAAGTAAATATTTTCCTCAAAAAACTGACAAGAAATTTTATATTTTTCCTTCTATTAAGGGTGCTAACGTTTTTAAACTTTTTTTCGTATTTTTTTTTGTATTTGATTGTCTTAGTGGAGAAAATGGAAGAAATTTGAGATGAATTAAAGCAAAACTAACGAAGATACAGCGGTTTAAGTAAACGCGCCCCATAAATGACTCATCGTATCAGGAAATACCTGCCCGAGCGCGCTATGGTTGCCTAGCAGCTGTTTTTGGACTGTTATTGCATTGGATTCGTTCAAACACACGTACAGTGCTCTTCGAAAGGAAGTTTTGGACGCCATCAAGACTATCTATGAAGGTCTGAGCGAAGATGCCCTCCTGGAGCGATGTCATGGAGACTTCACGCAGAACAACAACGAAAGTTTGAACCAACTTATTTGGAAAATCTCACCAGAGCATTTAAGTGAAATTTCTGTGATCGTTGAGATTGCAGCTTATATGGTGCTTTACTAACCTCCATGCAAGACATGGTAATTAGTAGAGGACCAAGCGCTAATGAATGGACTGCATGCGAATAAGCCGAGCGAAGCAATAAGCTGAAAAACAGACTAAATAAAGCAGGATTCATCGTAGACAGGAGCAAAAAATGCTTTAGATATCGTGGATGGTGGCAACATCCTTTATGGACCTGTCATTAATGATTCAGCTTATAAACGTTTTATTCCAATTTTTTAGTGTTCAAAACTTTAAAGTGTTTTTCCCACAACTAACGTTTTCAAAATCGGTGCTCCTTCACTTCATTTTAAACACTATTTCTGTACATAATTTACGAAATAATGCTGTAGAATTTTTTCAAATTTGTTAATATTTTTTATTTTATGAAAACAAATTAGCCGATTTTTTCACAAAAAAGTGTTTCATTTCGAAGTGTTTTCAAAAAGTGAAAAATTGAAATTTCGAAAAACCCTCCCAGCCCTTCCTGGGAAAAGCGATTATCTAACGAAATAACATTCACAATGTGATTTTAGATGATCCAGCACCAAGTTATGAGGGGCACCGCAATTCTATTTTTTCCGAGACGCTTCCGAATAATATTTCTTCATAAAAATTTTAAACAATATTAAGAGATGGAAATTTAAAGTGACGTTTTGTATTACTTCGAATGAAAAATCGTTTTCTAACCTAAGAAAAAAGATTAGTTGGCTGTTAAATGTATTAAATTTTTAAATATTTGTGGTCAAAAAAATGAAAGCAGTTGTGAGAGAAATGTGTGAAGCCAATTTACAAACATATATTGTAGAATTCGAGATATCATAATTTTACTGATAAAAGACCATGATGGAAAAAGATGATTGATTTCTGCTCAAAAAGTTATTGTTCAATTTTTGGGTAATATTTATTATTATTTTATCAAATAATACCCAAATATGAACATATCTTCTAAAACTAATCTTATATTTATGTCAATTTGTTGATTTTTGCATAAATCAGATGTTTTCTATTTTTATTGAAATTTTGTATTGCAAGAAAATATGTAAAATTTAAAAAAGTAATAACTAGAGCTAGGAATATATGCAAAACGCCATATTTTGCATATATTGCATATATATACAATTTTTGATTTTGAATGCATATACTGACATTTTGTTAATTTTTTGGCATATATCTAACGTACTAATTGGCTGGACATATTAAAATTATGAGTTTTGAACCAAAATAATATTTTGTGAAATGCCTTTACAGATCGACAGTTTACTTTCAACTTCATTTCAGTCTTTATTGTTGTGTTGTGTTAACCAGTGGGAAAAATGGCAAAATTAATTGAGTCGTGGGTAAAATCTTATTCAGATTTTGTTGTAGAAGGTGATAACCAGGTGTTTTGTAAAACATGTTCCAAAATTGTAAGTACTTTTTTAATTTATATTTTATTTTGACCTTTCACAATGGTAAATCAAACAACAGTAAAATATTATTTCAACTCACAGTTAAAAAAAAAGTAGGGCAACTTTACAACGTATGCATTTATTTCCTTTACCGGGTCGATGGTGTAGCGGTCTAACGCGCCTATATTTATTTATAAGCAAGTTTATGAGTCCGAGACTGCTGGGCTTCGAATCCCAGACCAGACCATGTGGATTTTTAATTAAATTGTATGGTTCGGTTTAGGATTTGATGTGTGCCGTATTAATAGAAATTCAATTTCTATTTATATGACATGCAGATTATAGAATCGCCATACATTATCGTCTCGATGATGGTGGGTGAGGTTTTCCGGGTTTTCCTCACCTGTAAGTCAAATGGCACCATCAATCATCCTTAAGTCGCCCCGGAGCGCCACGGAAAATAATAATAATAGCCGTCCCTTCCCCTACACAAGTCGTTCAGTCGACTTTAGGGGTTGAAATTCACTCGTAAGGGGGTGAATTAGGGAGAGTATTATTATTATTATTATTATTATTTTTTTTTTTAATATAGTGTCATTGGCGTCGACTACTACGGCCATTAGCCTCGTGTTCTGTGTAGGCTTTGTTAATGTTTCCCAGCGCCACTTCAGAAACAGCACTGTTAATTAGAACCCAACAGTGAATGGTCGAGTGGGGAATCCTACCAAGGCATCAGAATTAATTTTAAATAATTAAATTAAATGAAAAAATCCCGGCCAACAGT